CTGTCTCTTATACAAACTACAATTAGTTAAACTATCCCCCGCCGGACACCATCCCGGTATTTAGCAGTTTCGGGGCCATTCTATAAACCATAACATAAGTTAGTTAAATAAATGGCTTTTGAGAAGAGATTTAAATGTAATGGTGGAAGTTGCATGTTTGATGTGTAATGGGATGTTATTCCAGTTGGTTGGAGAAGCAAATGAAAAGGCACAATTGCCATATGACCGTGTGAATGCTTTAGGGGTATGAAGAAGCCCTTTAGTGCTGGAACATAATGTTCGCTTGGTGGAGTGATCTTGTATTAAGCATGAGATGTAATGTGGTACGTTGTTATGCCGGGACTTATATGTAATCAAAAGAATCTTGAAAATGATCCGTTGATGAACGGGCAACCAGTGGAGTGAATGAAGAATTGGGGTTATGTGCTCATGGCGTCTGGTTTTTGTAACCAGTCTTGCAGCCGTGTTCTGTATGCGTTGGAGCTTGTTAATTTCAGATTTTGGAAGACCATACAAGAGACTATTACAATAGTCTAAACGTGAGGTAACAAAGGCATGAATAAGTTTTGTTGTTGTTGCTTGATCTAGATATTTCCAAATTGAGCTTATTTGACGTAGTGCCCTAAGAGAAGACTGACAGATGGAGTTCACATGTTCCTTCATGCCCAAAGTATTGTCTAACTTTACACCAAGGTTTCGGACAGATTGACTTGCTGATATAGTCGTATTCCCTATAGTGACAGTTTGAATCGTTGACACGTTTTTATTAAAACGTGAGGTGAAGTGAATGAACTTAGTTTTATTCTCATTGAGGAAGAGGTGATTAGAACAAGCCCATGATTTTGTGTGTTGGATGCATGTGATGACACTTTTAAGTGCAAGACTTCTATTGGAATACAAACAGGTGGTGTACAATTGTACATCATCTGCATATACCATGCATTCTACTCCATGTGATTCAGCAATACGTATAATGGGTGCTGAGTACATAATAAAGAGTAGTGGCCCCAGTACAGACCCTTGGGGTACACCACAGGTAACGTCATGTGATCGAGATGACACATTGCCCAACATAACCAATTGTGTCCTACCAGTTAAAAACAACATCAGCCACCTATGTGCACATCCACTAATACCGAAGTCAGATGTAAGCCTTTGAGACATTATACCATGATCTACAGTATCAAAAGCAGATGAGAAATCCAAAAGGAAGAGAAGAGGCTCCTGCTTCTTATCTAAAGTGTTCAGTATATCATCCTTCACTTTTATAAGTGCCGTTTCCGTACTGTGATTTGAGCGATAAGCAAATTGACGACTTGGAAGAAGGTCATTTTCCTGAAGGTAAGTTTGGAGTTGGATACTTACAAGACGTTCTAATGTCTTAGAAAGGTAAGGTAAATTTGATATTGGTCTGTAGTTAGTGAAGATATCGGGATTCAATTTATAATCCTTAAGAATGGTAGTTATATTTGCAGTCTTCAACAAGGATGGAAATACTCCTTTAGTTAAACTTAAGTTCACAATACGTGTAATGACTGGTAATAAAACAAGAATGGATTTTTTCAGAAGTGAAGTAGGTAGAGGATCAAGATCACTGGACTTATTGTTAGAACATAGTATTAACTCACATACTTCATCTTGATCAACAGGTTGCCAACTGGCAAGAGACGAATTACAAGGATTCTGGGGGACAGCAGAAAAAACAGACACACAATGGGAATTTGTTTCTTCGCTGGACACTATGCTAGCGCGAAGATCTAAAACCTTATTAGCAAAGGCCTCAACAAATAAATTTGTAAGATGGTATTTTATTTCTTTTTTTAATAGGCTTGTTGATGTGAAACACATGGCTGACCGTATCATCAATATGCGTGAAATGCTGGTTGCTAACCTAAAGAAGGAAGGCTCCACGCTTGATTGGTCACACTTTACCGATCAGATCGGAATGTTCTGCTTCACAGGCCTCAAACCTGAACAGGTGAGATATCCTGTTTTTATGATTAGACCCCCAAAAAATAAAGTCAATTGCATAGAAAAATTGACTCAAAATGTATAGTAATAGTAAATATTAATACGCTACGTACCGTACTCGCACAAATAAGCGCCCCGTTTGAATAAGTGCCCCTTTCGAATAACCGCCCCTCCTAAAGTCAAAATTTCCTTAAGTGCCCCGTTTGAAAAAGCGCCCCTTCTAATTTGAATATGTGCCCTCCCCCTCCCCCTCACATAAGATTTTCTTTTTAGCAAGTCAATAATCAATCAATCCTGGGATTGTGGTTGTTGGCATGATTTGAGCTGTAGAGTGGAAACACATTCTTCTTTGGTCAATATCAAAATGAGGATATTTCTCTTGGACAGATGAGAGCAAACGATCCCTTGGACAGACAGTATATTTCCAACTTTACTCTTTTTACATATTTGTCTATGCCTAGTCCTATTCCTCTTTTTCTTTTTCCGACTTTCAGCACATTCTTATCTAAGTTTTCAAGAATAAATACAATGATCCTGCCATCCTGCTAATCTCAATCGGCCAATGTCCAACAAGCTAACCACTACCCACCACCATTAATTGCATCTGCTATTTTGCTGTTATGTAAATATTCACATTCACACATTTTTTCATTCAAAAAGGCCTCTTGAATTTAATAATTTCTATAAGCGCCCCCTTTCCACTCTGTTTTCATAAGCGCCCCGTTTGAATAAGCGCCCCTCAGAAAGTGCAAAAAATATTTTAAGCGCCCGGGTGCTTATTCGCGCAAGTACGGTAACTGAAATATTTTTTGCAACACATAAGTATTGTGACAAATGTTTGTATACATGTTGATATATTGTTTATGTATTTATAATTAATACTTATGTTTGATTTTCAGGTGGAACGTATTACCAAGGAATTTTCTGTTTATTTAACTAAAGATGGACGTATATCTGTCGCTGGAATTTCATCGTCAAACAACGCCTACTTAGCACACGCCCTGTCTCAAACAACGCCTACTTAGCACACGGCATCCACCAAGTCCCTAAATGAACATCAAGAATTTTTAATCTTTATAAAAGTAATCACACTGTTAGAAAAATGTATCAATAAATATTTAAAAAAATATACAATTATGGTCAGTTCTTGTAGAAACTATATAATTCACATGGTTTGCTTGATATTCTAAAAGAATAACTATTATTAAAATGTGGAGTGCTCTCACTAAATTAAAATTAAAATAAAAGAATATTTTCAGGGTTAAACTATGCAGGAACAGTATAATAAAATTGCAAGAGGTTCTACTGTCGAGGTTCTTTGAATTAGAATCCCATTCTCAAAAAGTATGACCGCAAAATAGAGGGCGCATTTCAAAAGAACGTGTGCAACGTATGTTCGAATTTCAGACTCTTCAAATTCTGATAGGGCGCCCCCTATCTGGTAGTAATTCGCATTTCGTTTGAGTGCATGGAAAATACGAATATTAGGACTCTTGCTATTCTATACTTACTCTTGGAGGTGAACAATCAAAATCACAGCTTGGACCTGTTTTATACTTTTCAGTTCTGTTATGCAATACTGCTGCATGTCAACAAATTATATTCACAAGTCAAAGACTTCCTATTGTGATTGCTGTTAATGCATGTTAAATATGCAAAATGTTAATCACATATAAGTTTATTAAGATGAGGTGTGCTTTACAGTAAATGTTTCTTTTTTTAAAATATAATTTGAATCATGATAAGTTCAGAAATGATTCAAATATTGGAATTTTTATCTCTTTTTTTTTCAAAATAAATGACGAT